AGGAATGCCCAGCTGGTCCCTGGGGAAGGGAAACGACCAAGATGACAGAAACGAGGACCACGCTCTGCATGGGAGTGAGTACAGGGAAACCCACCTACGGACTGCGCGGACCCGCACGCACCGGACTGTCACGCTGCCCAGGCACCAGCAGAGAGTGCGGGACCAGGCGTTTCCGTCCACGTGAGTCTGCCTCGAGCTCACGCTCGTTGTTTGTTTGTGTTTTTTTTTGGAGTGGTTTTTGCTATAGGGCACATGTGCTCCTCTAGACAGAGAGACAGAGAGAGAGCGAGAAATCACCCCCAAGGGGGGATGGCCATGCCACAATCCCTTCTCCTCCATCCTCCTCTCGGGATCTTGGGCATGCACGCACATGTGCCCGGCATGAGTTTAAGCCACCGGGTCCAGGACTCGAACCACGGTCGACTGCATGGGAGTCCAGCGACATAGCCATTACACCAACTGCTGGTTCCAAGCTCACGCTCTTAACCACCTCCTCACAGAGCTCCCAAAGCCCAGGGCAAAGCCCCTGCGTGGCACCCACCTGGGGCCTCCAGGAAGAAGCAGGTGGGTACTGAGAACTGGCTGTGTCTGGGCTCAGGCAAGGTGTAGACGGCTCTGGCACGCAGGCAGTGGTGTCCACTGGCAGTGGGCGGCAGGGAGATCTGGACTGGCTCGCCGAAGTCAGTGACTGGGAGCAGGGTCTGTTGGGAGGGGGAGCAGAGACGAGTGGGGTTGCCGGGGGTGCAGACGTGCACAGCTGGGGTGGCAGGCGGGGAGGGGCCCCACTTCCTCTCCCTGCATCCAAATCCAAGCCTTGAGGGGGCACTTCCCAACTCCACCTGGTTTCTTTTCAGCTGAGCCTTGAGGTAGGGACAGCCGGGGTTCAAAACCAGCCGACCTCCCGGGATCGCACTGTGTGTACCCCACCAGGGCCTCCAGGTCCTCACCTTGAGGTGCAGACTCCTCAGGCTCCCCACCCTCAGACCTCTCAACCTATTAGCAGGTGGGAGGTGGTGGTGTTCAGCACCAAAGGCAGAAAACCCTACAGTCGCACTGTCCCGTCCAGGAGGTCTTGGACAAATTCACGGAAAATGCACATTATTGAAAAAAACACGCATGGATTTCAAGCATCGTTTGCACCAAAATAAACTCATACATTAATGAATTTGCTAGAGGGCGCATGTACTTGCTGGAGAGACAGCAACGTCCCCCAGTGGGGTGTGGCCACACCGCTCTCCTGTCCCTGCGTTTCTCCATACCATCAGGGCCTGGGGCACGCACACACAGGCACCTGACATAGTCTCCAGGCTGCTGGGTTGGGGCCTGATCTGCAGCTGGCCAGGGGGATAGCACTTAACCCCCGTACTATCGAGCCGGCCCTAAGCTTGTACTTTCATTCCACGTTCCCGTAAACTTCCTGAAGTCCCTCGTACGGTAGCCACTCGGCATGTGAGGCCTCGAACTCTCAAACTGCGGCGGGCCCCGCTGCACTGTGCCCTCAGTAAGAAACACACCGGCTTCCAAGCCTGCGGTGGAAAAGGAGCATAAAACGTCCCGACCATTTCTATATCGACTACGTGTGGCCATGATGCCCTGGTGGGTACAACGCAAATCTGTTCCTAAAATTAAATTCACCTGGGGCCAGCAGGCGGCATGGTGGTTAAGGCAATGGGTTCCCACACGGCTGATCACAGTTTGAGACCTGGACCCAGCGGCTTGAGATTCCCGCTGGGCGTTTGTGCTTGTGTGCCCAAAATCCCGACAGGAGGCTGGGTTAGAAGGGTTATGGCATGGCCGTCGCCGGGGGTGGGGATGGGGGTGATTGCTCACTTTCCCTCTCACTGTGCCTCTCTGGCAAGCCTATGTCCCCTATGGTAAACATCTAAAAAATTAAACCCGCCTGTTTCTTTGACTTATTTTAGTATGGACCATTTAAAATGACACGTGGCACACATTTTATATACTTTTATCCTCTCTGTTTTCTTTCCAAAGAGTATCTTATTTACTGAGAGAGAAAGAGGGGCCAGCATCCCCGACAGGATCTCACCACGCGGGGAGTCTCCCCAAAGCCCCTCCGCCACCCGGGATGGCAGGCTTGTGTGGGCACACCCTGGGATCCGAACCGGGTTCACCATGGGGCTCCACCATTGTGCGGCACCCCCACCGTGTGCACCGTGGCCAGGCCTCACGCCACGTTCCTACTGGACAGTGCTGGCCTGGAATATTTGTGAGGCTCTCTTTGTATATGTTTTTGCCATCGGGCACGTGCACTTGCAGGAGGGAGACAGGGAAAGTTGGGACCCCCACTCCATGCTGGACTCTCGGCTGCGGTCCAAGTTCCCAATCCGGCGGCTTAAAACTCACGCGTGGCACGTGTGCGTGCGTGCCCAAAATCCCAACAGGAGAATGAAGAAGGGATTGCAGTGTGGCCATCCCCCCGGGGGATGATTTCTTACTTTCTGTCTCTCTGTCTCCCTCTGTCTCTCCAATGAGCACACATGCCTATAGCAAAAATCCCTCTAAAGAAAGGGAGGGGGGAGAAGTGAGAAATCATCCCTGGGGAGATGGCCGTGCTGTAATCCCTTCTCCTCCGGCCTCCTCTTGGAATTCTGGACACACGTGCACACATGCCTGGAGTGTGGTTCAAGCTGCCGGATCCTGGACTCGAACTGCAGTCGGCCATGTGGGAGTCTAGCACCTCAATCACCATGCCCCTTGCTGGCCCCATTGGTGAGGTTCTTAAAGGCCAATATCATACAGGATTCAGATCTGTCCCCAGAGAGGGAGTGTGAAGGCGGCTTAGCAGAGGTGAGCAGAGTAGGGCCGTACTGGCACTCGGTCATGCCCACTCACTGACATGTCAGTGGCTCCTTCTGTGCCACAATGGAGCTGAGTTGTGGTGACAGATCACGTGGCCCACAATGCCTAAAGTATCCACTACCTGGCCCTTTACAGAAAAGGTCTGCCAACCTTGCCTAAGAAATACAGACAGACAGACCCACTGCCCATAAGGTAAATAAGCCCGAAACCGGAGCAGGGCAGACCCTTCATGCTACCCCAGTACCCTGGTTTTGCTTCTCGGAGCTGATCTGCTTATCTTTCTTTTCTGATCTTCTTTTTCTTTTTCTTTTCTTTTTTTTTTTTTTTTGAGAGGTTTTTGCTATAGGGCGCGTGTGATG